AAAGTGAGAGTAAAGCAGTGAGAGAAGAGCGTGACTTCAAATGAACCTAATGTGTTTGCGTGATGTGTAAGTAAGCCAACGATTAATGCATGTTCAAGGTAATGATCTGGAGCATCGTCTGTTTGGTAAAGACTTTAGATCCAATGGGTCGTTTATTAATCAGCAATACTCAACCATTTTAACGATTAAACTTTGCTCAGACATAACAATTCCACCTATGTCATTTCATAAGAAACTGTTGCCAGACTTAAAATACTTTCTGAACCATGGTGGATTGACAGAGTCATGGAAAAGTATAGAAATAATGGATCATTTTCTTCCGCCTCTTTGTTTTTGTCTCAGCTTGCCAGTTAAAAGCTATTGTTTGACAAGTTTTATGAAAGAGGGCTCTCTAGTGACGCAAGTGGAAACTCTTGGTTGTGATAGGACATGGAACAGACAGTATTAAGACCACAGGCGTGTGTGCATCTGCTTCTCTCTCTGACAGATGGAGCTTTAGGGAACAAGTGAATAAAACCATTTATAAAACTGAGAGCCCTCTGATGGACTGGATTCAGTCTTGTGGTGACGTTCGATGTAGAAAAACAAACAGCTCTGTCATGCTCAGTCTCTCCCTCTCTTTCTGACACACATATATTCTACATACACAAAGAAACTCCACATTTCTGATCAAGAACGAACAATTCTGATCACTGTCGAGCATTTAAGTGGAACTGCAATTTATCTGTAAAATGATTTTTCCAATTATTTTATAAATCGTTTATTCTATAAAATAATAACTGGCCATCAAGAGTTGCCAGTGAGCAAACTGATTACTTACATGTTTTGTTTCATCAAATGTCAGAGATCTTAAGTGATTCAATTTACAATGATATGAATCAACAAAAAGCAGCAAAGTAAAAAGATACACATAAATACTACAATTTACAAAAGAAAGTAATTCTGACTAATATAGAACGTGTTGAACATGAGGGTTCAAAACCGTCAACATCCTCAGCTCTGGCTTTGTAATCACATATTTAGCTAAGGTCCCTGACCTCCAGGAGTGTTTAACATCTCCGTACACATTGAAGGAACTGTAGATTAACTGGTCAAGTGCCACGTCTCCAAAGAGAGCACCTGTCAAGGGAGCTGTTGGCCCCAGACAGGACATGCATCAAAGTCAGGAAACCCCAACAACGAGGCCCCACAGTTAAAAATGTTACGCCTCAAAGACAACAGCAGCAGACCTTAGCAGAAGAGAAATAGATCTTGTTAATGAAGTGCTGTGTGTGGATTTAATGAGAAACAGGCCGTGTCCAAAATCACTCCCTAATTCATCCATTCATTCACTATTTCCTATATGATAAACCAGAGCTGCACTTTGCAACTTGCCTGTTTGATCAGTCCATTAGTCGTTTAGTTCATAGAATGTCACAAGGTGACGTCTTCATTTAGATGAGAAGACTGACACCACTGTGTTTTTAAGGTGAATGTATGCATGTAGCTGGAGACAGGAGAAAGTTAGCTTAGCTTAGCATAAAGCCTGAAAACGAGGGTAAGCAGCTGGCTTTGTCCAAATGTAACAAAATCCTCCGACCAACACCTCCAAAGCTCATTGAAGACACGTTATATCTCGTTCTACAGAACAAAAACAGCGGGTTATGTACCAGACTACTTCTTGGCCAGGACCAGTTGCAAGGTAACAAGCATGGACTCTTAGAAGTTACTGGAAATACTCAGTTATGTAACTCCCCATGTACAGGTGAAATGTCGATTTTACATTTTGGTTTTGTATGAATATTGTGATTCTTCATTCAAAAATAATTTGTTTTAATTCAGGTGGGCCACATTCAAAAGGGGATGGTGTTAAATGCAGTACCAGCACACAGATTGATTGATAAATGATTGATTCTTGGACACAGCAGAGGAGCACAGAGCCAGAGATACAGGGACACAGAGACGTGTTAACATAAAGAGACAGACAGACACAGAGACAGACAGACTGCCAGAGGAGACAGATTCAGACACAACAAAAAAATCTGAAAAACAGAAACAGATGAATGGAGAATGACAGATAATGAGAAAGAGATGCAGCCAGCTGAGGAAGATTTCACCAACTAAAAAATCAAATCTGCTGCAGCTTGTTCCTGCAAACAACACTCAACACAAAACAGCAGGAGAGGTCTCTGTCGTCTACATCATCACGAAAGCATCCCAATGCCATCCTGATGGAGAACCTCTGTGCCTGGCGGGGCTGGCATGGCACAGCACGGTCTGCTATGTTTTATAGTCAGGATTGTAGTCACTACTCTGGCTGCACACTACTGTATGCTGTAAAGAGAACCAGACCCTCGCTGATTATTTCAGACATTTTTCTATGGACACGAAAATGTAAATTCAAACCAGCTTCACTTTTCCTTCATGTCCGAGCATATGGGTTTGCCGGTGTTTACATTTTAAACGTGCGGATTCCAGAAACACGGTTTAGTGCCAGTGTAAACAATTGTATGTATATGAGGGACTATGTTTTGTTTGGTCTGAGGTATTAAACTACAGTGTGTGTGTGTAGTCATAACAAAATGGATGTCTAAATGTACAAGCTAGCTCATTGCGAATTTATATGCACTAATCAGTTTAAAATATTCATCATCAGCAACAAGCAGTACGTTTTAAATGTCAAATGAAATGTTGTCACGACTTCCTTAATTTTTGAGATATTTACTTTTGACACAGGATATTCAGGTAAGATAATAAATATTGAGAGTGGAAACCAATGGACTCAGTTATGGAGAGAAAGACAATTTGATTTGACAGAACAAGCAGGAAGGTGACAATAATACAACTTGACTGAGCTGAGCAGACACTGTTAAACACATACATGACTTGTGTACTCACACTGTACTGATCAACTGATCATTAACAACATGGGTACTCATACAGGATGTAAACACTGAACACTTGATTGGTTTTATCCATGGATAATTCCAATAAACTTTTAAATTCTTCTATTCTTCTGTTAAAACAAGACGGCTGTGTCTTCAAAACAGAATTCAAAGAAGACAAAAGCAGCATCATGTTGTGTGATTTTACTTTGAACACAAAGTAAAAAGAACAATGTTAACAATATGTCTGTCTTTGGAGCTTAGACCAGTTGTTTTTCTATTACAGCACAAGGTTAATCAACACTACAGTCAGCTACAACATGAAAATTATGACTCCAATAATACTAAAACCAGTTTGTTACAGTTTATAATGGATCTTTTGACAGCAACCATGTGACAAATTGTAATGTGGAGCTGCTCAAATTAAGACAGGAAAATAAAATTTTCCATCACCCACTCGCTGATTGGTGATCACTTTGGTGAATAATCAGGCATCACAGTCTCCCTGGGGCCTGATTGTAAAATTAGACAGGGTGTCCACTTGAGGGTTGAAATTTGGCTAAATCCATCCAGTGTCAGCCCAGCTTTAGTTGGACTAAGTGGCACCCACTGATGAATCAAGAGGTCTCCACTGAAGATCCAATGTTTGCCATGAAGTAGTTTTCAGAAGAACCCATTTTATTTTATCTTTAATGGCAGAAACAAACAGAATTAAGTGACTGTTGATGTGTAGGTTCACCATATATTGTGACTGGCTTTCCTATCATGCTCCTCATGAGGGATTCGGAGCCAGCAGCTCTACCCAGCTCCTCACTTGTGGTATCCTTTTGCTCTAAGGCTGATTGTTTTAATTTTACACTGATTTAAGGTTGCAACTAATGATTATTTTCATTATTGATTAACTTGATGTTTATCTTCTTGATTAGTTGATGAGTCATTTTGTCAATAAGATAACAATGCCCTTCATAATTTCCCACACCCCAAGGTGACGCCTTCAGATGTCTTTTGTCCAACCAACAACAGTCCATACCCAAAGACAATTAATTTACTATCATGTATGACAAAGAAAAGCATAACATCTTTCCATTTAAGAAGCAGCAAATGTTTGGTATTTTTGCTTTGTTCCTAATGATTACTTTCCAGTCAGTCAACTTTGATTAATCCTGTAATTGTTGCAGCTCTATACTGATTATCACAGAAAAACACTTAGACTTTTTTGACCTTTTTAACCAATTTTTACCCTGATTTTTTGTCTCACATGCCTCCAAACATTAAAGGAAGCAACTATGGAATTAAAAAAGACACTGATGATCACCATAGATTACAGGTTTTCTGACACAGAGATTACTCAGTGGTTCTGATTCTATTTAAGGAACATGAAAATAAAAGATAAGCAGAATACACAGTGAACCAAAAAGTAAGTTGTTAGTTTTTTTTATTGTTTCCATATTTTTCCTCTATTTCTTAATTTATTTAAAATATATATATTTCCAGATGTTTTTGGTAAAAATCAAAAGACCCCTACCTATAATTAATCAAAGCAGGTTTTCAGCTTCAACACCCACATGAACCCTTGTGCAAGCCACAACAAAGACCAGTGAGCAGACACAGACTGATGGGCCACAAAGCAGACAGGTCAGGTACACAGGCGTCTCACAGGACTCACACTCGCACTCACACACACACGCACACACATATATATATATATATGTATACACTCAAAAGCACAAGCAAAATGGGCCAGTCAGCCAAGGATAAGAGGCGGGGCTGCCGGTTGGGGCCTCTGACGCCTGAGGCTCAGCACCACAGCGCTAATTAATGACAGACACTGGACTGGTGGTTTTACAGACAGAGACCGATGAAAAAACACAAAGCTGGTGAAACCAGACCAGTGGTTAGTATACATGACTGTAGCTGCCTGCCTGTCCACAGCTGGATATAATCACCATGACGACTGGTTAGATACCCACACTCTTGAACTAGAGCTTTGGGACACAGCTGTGAAACCATGCAACTGCCTGTTTTTTTTTGTTTTTTGTTTTGTTTTTAACACCTTAATGAGCTGGGGATTTTCAACACAGCTTTTAAGAGCACTGCAATGTTTCTCAGCATTGGGGACCAAAATATTCGACTCACAGTTTTGCCAAGGCTCAAAAATGACTCATCCTCGGGATCCCCCAGCAGGTCCTCCAGGTCATTTGAGGACAGCAGAATATTCTGCGAGGAAACAGAAGCGAAAATTTCTAAATTTAAAAAACCACAAACAAAGACAGCTCAGAGCTAAACTGTTGAGCAACCAAACACCCAGAGTTGTTAAAGTCATCAGACTGGATCAAAACCACACGAGACAGTGCAGTTTTGAATCCTCTAATGATCTTTTATCATGGTTCATAGTATATAACACATTCTGCTGTCAAGGTATTAACTGCAGGAGTCTGAGTGTCTGGGTCGTGCGCTTCAAAAGACTTTGCTTTGCCGTGCTGTTTACATAAGTCAAAGGAACCATACTACAAGTTAATTTCACTTGTGGAGATGATGTGAAATTTCCTGATCCCGTGTTTTTCTTTTCCATTCATCTGTGCTCACCTCTAGTCTGTCGGTGCGTGGGGAGCGAGGAGGTTTGGGGGCCGTCTCACTGCAGCGGGGTGGGTGGTGGCTGCAGTGTTGCTGGGCGGCGTCTGGGTCGTCCATCAGGAAGGTCAGCTGTCTGAGATGACCCTGCAAAGACAGAGACATGAGATGCAGGGTGAGCAGTCAACACACTGTCAAGACACGACACCATCTTCATGGGAAAAAGAATTGTAAATATCTCTTTATATACAGTTGGAGACTACAGGTAACTACACCTGTGAGTCTGGACAGATACTGAGGTGAATTTGGATTTGTATACATCAACAGATCTTTTACAAGATGCAGTAAGCATGATTTTGGTGATTTCAAGGCTGAAAGAAATCTAGATATTTACCTCCCATTGCAATAAAAGACTGTTCTCTACCTGGATGAGGTGATTCCATTTTTTTCATATCTATGCCAATGCAGTACGTGTTGAAATGTTTGTCATTTGCACCTGCACCTGATTAAACTGCTGAAGTGAATTGGGTGCTGTATTTCTTTGGATTCAGTCGTTCAAACGTTGCCCATTAAACTGTCTATATCCTGTCTTACTCTGGGAGCACCAACCTCCATTAGTGGATGGGCTGAGGCGCAAGAGACCAGGTGTTACCAGGTGTTTTAGACGTCTTGGTTACGTATAGATAACTCTGCCATTACTTCTGTGGTACCTCACTTGTAAACCTGTGCATATTGCTATAATAAATGTAAAGGATTTCACTTTTTAAGCGCTTTTGTCAATAAATCTCTCCAGATGATCCTGTGGAACCAACTTCATGATGCGTAATCATGAAATGACATTGAAATTGAATGTTAAGAATCTACAAATAATAATCCTTTTGAAAAGTTATCAAACTGCTGGACGTATTTTCTGGGCTGTGCTGTTATCAGCTGCTCCAATAAACTTCAACTTTACAATAAAGGGAAAGTAAAAGCCACAAATCTCTGCTCTATTAAATCAATTTTACTGTCATGGATCTCCATTAAATCCTCACATTTCAATAATCCTCTGAGAGATGTGATGTCAAAAGACTAACCAGGAATTGCTACAGATCAGGCAAACTGCCGACACAGGGCCTTTGGTGAGCCATCACCCCACATATCTTTATCCAACTTGGTGCCGTGGTTCCTTACCGTAACTCACTTTTACAGAATTGTTTCTTTTTTTTATGAAATGATGCAGGTATTTTGATTACAAAAGACAGGAAATGCAAATGCAAGAAATCATGCAATTTGATGATTGAAACCATAAACTAGCAAATAATCCAAAAAGGACCATTGAATCCTCTCTCGAGATGTCAAAGTGGAATCAGACAGTGGTTCAGATTTGTCTGAACAGGTTCATTCTATCTGATAAACTATATCCTGCAGTCGATATGTTCATCATCTGTTTATATACTATACAGCTTTTCACTCATGCGTACATACTGTACATACAGAGAATGACAGGACAAGTTTCAACACTCACACTCGTCTGTGTGAGTGTATGTCTGCTTGCATGTGTGCATGTGCAGTTTAACAATAATTGCTTTGTTTAAAGACAGATAAGCATCCCTTTAAGAGTGAAACCACACAGATTTAAAATGAATTATATCTATAATATTAAGATGTAAATTTCCCCTTCTTTTGCCAAATTCAAACCTGCTGGTACATATCACACAACTAATATGCACTAATTAGACCCATTAGGAAAAACTGAACTGACTCATTTTAACAAGCTGTTTGATCTCACATCCTTAAATCAAATCCAAAGACAGGTGGAGAGCGGGGGATGTATGTAACAAGTTTCAAGGAACTACATCTGAAAAGTGTTTTTATTTGATGCAGATCCTTGGGCACCTCTGTCAGAAAATGTTGTTGCCTAAAAATACACTGTGAACAAATAACATGTGTGTCTGCTGAACAGACATCTGCTGAACACTTTCATGTGGGAAAAGTTTTCTACTAATTTTACTGGTGACTGATCTTGAGTTATTAAAATCAGTTCAATTACGTGTATATACTGCATTTCATTGCATGTTAACGAGATTCAGCATTTAACCAAGCACTGAACAACTTGTTTGTTTACTGCAGAGAGACTGCATCAAGTAAACAATCCGTAATTACATCCCTGGCAACTATTAAGAAATTAGATAAAGAGAAAGACATTTTTATGACGTTTAACACCTAATAAGGAACTTCGTGTGGATCACTTAATGAGCATCAAAGGCTTTAAACAAGGTGAAATTGATGGGAAAGGTGAGAAAGAGTTAGAGCATGTTGATAAGACTGATAAGACTCAAACCCACATTACTGAAAACGCACAGTATGATTCTGAGGCCTTCAAAACAGATGAATCCAATATAAAACCTGCTTAATGTCTATAATATATTTTCATCTTAAATTGTAAGAATTAAGCAAAAAGTGTCTCTCCGTCAGTCACTCAGCAGTGGAGTGGATGACAGTAAGAGTTATAGATAAAAGCAGAGCACAGTAATGAATGGTTTAAACCTGCCTGAGACAAAAGAAAGTCCAGAGAAAGGACTGTCACCACCTTTGAGTGTGGAAGTGCTCCGTCCTTGGAGCTCAGTAAAAAGCTGTCATCAGGGGAAACAAGTCAATGGAGAATCCAGTCTATCTGGTGCTAAGAACAAATCCAGATGCTGTCTCCTCACCCCCATTGTGTTACAGTCACACTGTCTGCTCTGATCCTCAGGCTAAACGACTGCTTGTTGTAACTGAGGCACAATGCCCATCATGCAAAGCCAGGCGCATTGTGGGTTGCAAAATCAGCCTTTGATGGAAGAATACAATACAGACAATACAGACTTTTCAATTTAATCTGCATTTAACTTTAAAAATTAATGAAGATTTGCTGTCCTCTGTGTCAGAATACACAACTCAGTTAAGTTTCAAGCGTCTACCAATAGATTTTCATAGCACACTGACATGAATGAAAACCCACACGGTTGGTGAAATGGAAGCCTGGAATGGACTTAAAAAAAATACATGGAACTCTATGCATTTGAAAATTGTCAGCAAACATATACATGATCTGTACTTCATAGGGAGTTTACGTGTTCTCCTTTTGGGTTTCCTCTCACAGCCCAAACACATGCAGGTTTGGTTAACAGTAAAGTGAAATGAGTTGTCGTCATACTGAGAGGAGAACAGGGAGGGGGGTTGAGGATACTGAACTCATCCTCTGTCCAAACACTCATCAGTGTTTCCTCTGTAATTTTACGTAACACTGATGCTTGGGTGGTAATTAAAGTTGTGGTTAGAGCAGGTTATAGGGATTTCTAGGCATACTTAATAAAAACAAACACATGGTTTCTAAGCATTATGGCCCACGTGTCTTTGTGTCTGTGATGAAAAGGGAGTGGGGTAGGACAAGGCCACGGGGCTAGAATATCTACTTGTGTGTTCTTTTCTGTGTGTGTGTGTGTGTGTATAAGGATGAGCAGACATGCTGTCTTTTTGGACAAAATTGAAATGAACTGGACTTTACACATGTGGCTTATTACCCTGACACTGTTGTTTTAAATAGCACCAGGCTGTTGCATAACCATCCGGTCATAAAATATGTATTTTACACACACATGCTATACAGAATAACATATGAAAATGAGATCATTTAAAATCCCACTAGGGCTATTCAGACACCCTGAAGTTCATTGTTCAGTCAGCTGAGGGTTTGACCTTGGTAGAATAAAACTTAATGAATTCAGCTTCTTGTAAATATTTAGAAAGAAATGTGCTGACTAGCAGAAAAGGTGATAGGGTGTGTGCTTGATGACTGTAGGCAGAGTTGCTTTGTGTAACTTTGTGTTTCATTTAATGATCCCTGGAAAAAAGAAAAGGAAAGTTGCAGAGTTGGACATGAAGATAAAACTGGGTGGAAACCACTTACTTCAAATGGAGTCTCAAAGCCCTCAATGATGCCTCCAGCCATTAGCAGCCCATCTGTGCTGATCCCCATGCCGTGGTACACCCAGTCCACACTCTCCAGCAGAGAGCAGTCCACATATATCGCCAGCCGCTTGGCAGACACACTGACGGCCACATAGTGCCACTTTCCATCAGACAGACCGCTGACTGGGAACCTGACAGAAAAACACATGGGACATTATGTAATCATGTCTTTGGTTTCGTTCGTCTTGAGATCAATGTCTGCAAGATGTAATCTATGAGATAAATTCAAATCATGTTTGGGCCCTCTTGACTATTGGAAGACAATTGGAGACAGAGCAAAAATACTAAATACTGTCAAACACACCTGACATATTATCAGCTTATAAAGTCGCTATGGCTAACATGTTAGCCTTCTTACACATAGACCAGACACAGAGCAACATTATAATCATTCATTGGAGTTGTATTTGTGTCCAATATTCACCCTCTATTTAGTTTTATTTTGTCTTCACCATCTCTTGAAAAAAATATCTGGCTCTTTAGCTGCTAAATGTTCCACTTTCTTTACCAGCTAGTCTCTAACTTGGTGCTGAGTGGAAAGTGGGTTTACCTCAGCTTAAGCTGCTGCTGAAAATTTGTTTCATTAGAAAGCTGTACACAGAAGTATAGAATAAAAAAAAAAACAATGAGCTAAATGAAGCTAAAAAGTGGGTGATAAGTGATAAAGGCCCCAGTCAATTTTTGAGGAAATGCAAAAACTGAAAACTGTTGTGGATCCTAGACAGAAGCTGTGTGCTATGAGGGAGTGGAATTAAAAAAAGATGAGATGGGAAATATCACTTCTAACTTCTTCTCTGAGTAATCATTATATAAGTAAATATAGCTGAAATCCCAGCACAGTCTGTCTTTAACTTATGTGTTTGGTGACTTTGTCAGATGGTTATAAAATCACAATTTTAGCAGCAACTTGGAAATAGCTTGAACATTAACATGTAGTTTTAATGGGCCACGTTTCAGTCTCTGTTCCATACTTGTTCTGTTGTTTGACAACAGAAACAGAAAAAGAAGTAAATGACAACTGCTTTATTTGAAATTCAGTCGTATTAAAATACTGTATATGTGAGCACAGAGAGTAAGACAGACTAGGACACAATGATGTCAGTTGTTTAGTACAGGTTCTGCAACAGTTTTCAACTACATCCTCAATTTCTCACACTGACCAGATGCAGTCCAGTCATATACTGTTGACCTAATTTTGTTTAAATGTAACTTAACCCTGAACCCTTTAAACCTCAATCCCACTGTCAAAACCTTTAGAAACTAAAATCTCTGTCAGAGGCCTAAACCCTAAGAATGATGAAACAAAGCTTTGATATTTGACTCTGAGATGTTGGGCGAGTGTTGTTGTGCTTTTTGTACTTTTTTTGTTTCCAGTAGATATCATACAGTGTGTGGTATAATAAGGTTTAAGTCCAGGTCATGTGACCAAGTCAACACTCTGGGTTGCCATGACGTCCTGTGATGATGTCATACGGAATGTTGTGATGTATGAAGGCCAAGAGAACTCCAGTTAATTATAAAATCTCTCAGTGAACACCCTAGAACAACACATCATCCACACGAGAAAGTGCAGTACTACAACTCCAGCACCAATTCAATATTTGTGTGCAAACGACATGGAGAAGAGCAACACTTCAAGAGATGAGAAAAGATTTTCAAAGCAGCCTGAGGATGCTGCTCAACAAGAGGCACATCCTCCCAGGAAAACGCTGCAGGCCCTGCGACGAGCCCTTCTCAACGCCCAGAGGCAAAATAAAGAGCTGGCTGCCGAAAATGCAGCTCTGAAAGAGCAGGTAGCCAGCAAAGACATCAGCTGGGAGGCAGAGAAAAAGATGCTCCTGGAGAAGACTGCAGAGTCTGAAAGAGCTGCAAGGACAAAGTTGGACGCAGAGCGTAAGAATATGGACAGACGGATGAGAGAGAAGGAGAAGGAAGTCCACTCCTTGAGGGCACACCTGTGTTTCCAACAAACCCAGACAGAGATGGCCAAGAAACAGTGGATGGCAGAGGTCGCCAGAGTCAAGGAGATGGAGCTCTCCTTTGACCAAAGCATCGTCCAGTTCACTGCAGCGTGGGAGAGCCGGCTGACTGCCAGGGAAGAGAAGGCAGTCACCGAGCTCAAAGCGCTGCAGGAGAGCTGCGACAAGAGGGTGAAAGACATTACCCTGCAACAAGAAGAGGACATCAGCAGTGCCACGGCTGACAACCTGGTACTGATACACAGAAATCTAGAGCACCTGGACAAGATCAAAACCCTTGAGGCCAAGATCAAGCAGAAGGAGATCGAGTGGCAGGAAGACGTCAGGGCCCTAGAGGAGAAGCTCAGGCGAGAGCAGGAAGTAAAGGAGGATGAGCTGCAGCAGCAGAACAAAGCAGAGGACAGGTGGCTCGCCAAGCAAGAGGACTGGATCAAGAAGGTCAGCTGTATAGAGGAGGAGATCCAGCGCCTCATCCTGCAGAACGTTGAGCTTCAGGTACGTCACATCAGCCATCACTTTGATTTGAATTCTAACTTGTTGGATTGTAAATTTCTTCCAGATTGAACCTTTGAAAGAGAAAATACTGCAACATGTGCTGTGTCTGTCTTTTCAGGAGCTCGCCTTAAAGTCCGATAGAGACAAGGCAAAGATTAGAAAGGAGGAAGAAAAGAGGCTGAAGAAGGAGATGAAGGAGAAGAAAGAACAGGAGAAGAAGGAGAAAATGGAAAGAGAGGAGAACGAGAGGAAGGAGATGAAGGAGAGGGAAGAGCAGGAGAAGAAGGAGAAGAAGAAGTTGAAGGAGAAGAAAGAGCAGGAAAAGAAGGAGAAGAAGGAAAGAGACAAGAAGGAGAAGAAGGAGAAGAAGGAGAAGAAAAAGCAGAAGGAAAGAGAGAAGAAGGAGAAAAAGAAGAAGAGAGAGGTAACATCCCTTTCCCTTTAACCCCCCAACATCAACCCTTTCCCTCTCCCTCTCCCTCACCCACCTCCCAACCCCCCTTCACCCCTCCTTATCCCCTCTCCCATCCCTAACCTCCCTCAACCCTCATCCACCCCCTCCACCACCACCACCACCACCACCTACACCTTTTCCCATTCCTCCCACCTTCTTACCCTAAACCCCCAAAACATGTAACCACCCACCCCTCTACAACATAAAAATAATCCAATACAAAAACTAACTCTATGACATCCACCTGTTTCTGTCCGACAGCAGAGCTTTGAGATATTTACCTTATTTAAATTTCTATAAACTGAATTTGATCCTTCATTTTCACCTTGGCACGATATGAAGTGATTGTAGAGTCTGTAGGGCTGCAGCGATAGTCGCCATGATCGACGACGTCGACTATGAAAATGCGTTGACGTCAATATTTAACATTGATGAATCGTTTCCCATATATTGATTTATTTGTGGCGGCGAGTCACTATTAACCGCCATATATTTATTTTCTAAATCATCTATGGTCACACTTCTTCTCCGCTGCGGTGGGGCTGCAGATACTGTACATGAGCACATCACAGTTCAAATCCCTTCACTATAACTCTTGTTTAACCAGTGTTATTTTGTGATTATTATTTTTTATGGTGCACAGTGAGCTCAGTCACAAACATGTGAAGGATTACTTCATGTCAGTGTTGTCTGTTCGTTAGTAGACAGAGCTTTTTAATATCTTTGGTCCTTGCAGCTGGTAAATACTCTCATAAAGTCAGAAAGTCGTCTGCTGCTACCCGAGAATTTACACTGAATAAGTGTTTGAGAAAATGTCTAACCCAGAATCTGGGCTTATTGATCATGCCAGAGTGTCACATAGATTTTCTGGAGGAAAATTAATCGTATAGATTAATCGACAAATAATAAAATAGTCGATAAATTACTCTTTAAAAAATAGTCAATAGCGGCAGCCCTAAGAGTCTGTAGGTTTTACTGCAGCTGACACCTTTCATACACCCTCCAGTCATTAACATTCAGCCTGATAAGACTTCCCTCTTTTATTCCACTTGGTGGTTTGTTGCACAATCCTCAAGTTTTGACTTGACTTTGAACAGAAAGACACATTTACACAGAGTAATACACAGATATTTTTTCACGGTACAGATTATCAGGGTTTGTGTGATGAACTGTACAGAATTTCAAGTCAGTCAGACTCATGAAACCATTTAAATTCATCCTGCTGTTGGTCGTAGGCGTGCACTTGGTAACTGTTTCTCTGCAATCTCACAGTGTGTTAGTGCACGGTGGTTATGGCTTTTCATGTAGAATCAGCCAAACCCACAAGAATATTTTACCGGTATAATATGTGTCATTATAGCTCTACAAATGAAAGGTTCCATATTTTACACTTTGCTTTGTGACATGGTGCATTATGCTGGAAGTGTTCGTTAGAATATGGTCAAATGTGGCCATTAAGGGATGAAAAAGAAACAATACTCAGATATGCTGTGACAATCAAACAATGATTGAATGGCGTTATATGGGGAACATGTGCCAAAGTGTGCCAAGAAAACATCCCCCACACCATTACACCACCAGCCTGGACTGTTGACAAATGGCAGGTTGGGACCTTGGATTCACTACCCTCTGAGGGTAGGGCCAGAAATCCACATTCATCGGCTCATGCAACATTTTTCAAATCTTCAGCTGTCCAGTGTCCACTGCAGCCTCAGATTTCTGTTCTTGGTGACAGGAGTGATCTCTGATGTGGTCTGGATGATATAGCGCTTGTTTTTTTTCAATGCCTGTTTTTTTTGTTTCTGTTGTCAGACAACAAGTATGAAACAGAGACTGGAACATGGGCCATTAAAACTACATGTTAACGTTCAAGCCATTTGCAAGCTGCTGCAAAGATCATGATGTTATAACCAGGACGACATCTGACAAAATCACCAAACACATAAGTTAAAGACTGAGACTGTGCCGTGATTTCTGCTATATTTACTAAGAAAATGATTAGTCAGAGAAAAAGTTAGAAGCAACAGAACATCTTTCTTATTTTGACTGTCACACAGAGCACAGCCTCTGCCTGGGATCCACAACAGGTTTCAATTAGTGTATTTCCTTAAAAAGTGACCGGGGACTATATTTACCTTAACTTTAACCATTTGAAATGTTGTTTTGAGTCGCTATAGTTACTGCATTATGTGTTAATACAAACTCAACACTTACTGCAACTGTTAATATAGGAGGAGGAGGAGGTTTTTAATTAATTAAAAGTCTTTTAATTAATTAAAAGCCTCGTCGCATTTCAATGGACAGAAGTCATTTATTTCTTAACAGGGCTTTTATTGCAGTGCTGCATTAGCGTATTGTCTCATTTCTGGTTGCTGGTGTTTCTGTTTACATGCTATTTAGATCTGCTAGTTCCTTTAGCTTAGCAGTTATCTTGACTTTTCTCTCTCCCTCCCTCTCTCCTACTCTTA